GTCATACAAAATGCCTGCAAAAACTGCCTGTCATCTCATTCTTCAGTGTTTGTGCACTTTTCCCTCTTTTGAGTAGATGTGATAGTCTATTTCAATTTTAAGCTCAAGCTGAAAGAGTCCCAACTCTGAATTTGGTCACTGTCTGTTATACAAAGCTTGTTATGAGAAAAAAAAAAGAGTTGTACCAGTGTACACCTCCTTAGTATTCCTGGTGCCTTAAATAATAACCAGTTAATTGTGGTTTTATAAACCCTTAGTAACTGTGTTACTCATTAGCAGTAAACCCCACTTATTTTATCGATTTTTGATGCTGTATCTTCCTGGGAACTTAGATTTCTCACTGTAATTCCTTTCCTAAATATGAAAGGAATTACATATATAATGTTGTATTATTATACATACATTATATACATATACATAATTATAATGTTACATAGCTATATAACAAACTATAATTGTTCTTAAAGTATCTTTAAAAACTAGAATGAACACAGGCAAAGAAAACTTAAGCCTTGGAGAAAATAGCCACTTGCTTTTGCGAGAGAGCTATACCAGGTTCAGGTTTTGTGTGTTATTTATATATGTGGCAGATATACCTCACTATCCTCACAGAATATCCCATAAAGTCCAATGCAGATTTAAGCAAAAAGGCTTCTACAGGAGTTAAATAAGTTAAATAAGACTCTGGAAAAATCACTTAGAACACTAATGGCCTTCTCATAGACCTCTACTGTAAAAGTACTTGTAAAGCACATGGCACTTGCAGTTACGTATTTCCCATTCAAAGCAGGAGGGTATAAGTGAAAACACTAAAACATTCAGCCATGTGACATCTTTCAGGAAGCAAAGCCAGATTTTATTCCAAATCATCTTCAAGCTGAAGGAGCAGCACTCAATCAAGCGCTAAGCACTACTGACAGCTCACATCACACATGAGGAGAAATGCATTCAGACTAAGTCTGCCCATAACAACACCATTACTCCCAGCAATTCCAATACCATGGCCCTGAAGTACCTCCACTGTTTTCAGATCCCAGAACAAATCTCTTCAAGAAAACAAACTTGTACTCACCTACACAGATTAATCACTCTAAGAGAAATTGGAATGTGCACTCAGCAACCTGATAATGGTTTTAGCACACCCAAACAGGTTTCTTGATACTGATGATCAGTTCCTCACCAGCTGACTTCCAACTACTTGTAACTATAAAGATGGACATTGGACAATGATCCATTGGTGACACCACTCTGCAGTTACAGAACCTGCCCAGGTAAAAGCACTGGAACAGGCTGTATCAAATGAAGTGTTGCCAGCAGGTCAAGGGAGGTGATTCTCCCTCTCTGCTCCCCTCTCTTGTGAGACCCCACCTGGAGAACTGTGTCCACCTCGGGCCCACAGCATGAGGAAACACATGGATCTGTGGGAGCAGGTCCAGGGGGCCACAGAGATGATGACAGGGATGGAGCAGCTCTTCTATGCAGACAGGAAGACTGAGGAATTGGGGTTGTTCAGCAAAGGCTCCAGGACGACTTTATTGTAGCCTTTCAATACTGAAAGGGGCCCTGAAAAAAGGTGTGGAGAAATATACTTCTTTTTACCAAGGCCTCTAGTGACAGGACAAGGGGTAATGACTTCTAACTAAAAGAAAGTTTATACTGGATATAAGAAAGAAAGAAAGAAAGAAAGATTTTTTTAGTTATGAGAGTGGTGAAATACTGGAACAGATTGTCCAGAGAAGCTATACATGACTGATCTCTAGAAGTGTTCTCAATCCCTGGAAGTGTTCAAGGCCAAGCTGGATGGGGCTTTGAGCAACCTGGTCTAGTGGAAGGTGTCCCTGCCCATGGCAAAGGGATTTGAACTAAATGATTCAATCATTTTCTTTCTCACCCAAACCATTTTTGAGAGCCTGTGATTCTACAAATTTCTTCTCTAATTGCAGGTGCTCAAGGTATACAATTTATATTCTACCAATGGAAACATTTTTAAAACTCACTGAAAAATTAAATATCTTTTGTCTGAAAAACACAGGCAAATCAGTCTGGGAGAGCCTTTTAAGCTACACTATCAAGTGCTATAAATAAGATCATTACTGTACTTCAACAGTCACTATGTTGTGCACAGGTATTATGACATTAAGTCACATGGTTTCCAATACCCATGTGACAGCAAGCATATACTTCTTTCAGTGAATGGGACACCACAAACAGTTTGCCTGACTACGAGAAGAAACGTATTATTAACAGATTTTAGAAAGATGCATTATTTCATATATATTTTTTTTTCAGGCAATAAATCCTAAAGATATAAATGAAACTGACAGAAAGATGAATTGTATCCATTATCAAAAATTACTCTCTGATGGTCACTGCAGCCAATTGCTAGAACCTCTGTCATAAGACTTCACTTTGCTCAAAATGCATTGAACAATGCAGTCAAGTGAAACAGGAGAGATTTAAAAGAAAGGACTCAAAAGTTCTATATGGCAACACTACAGCTTTCCAATATGGAAAATTGAGATGCAGTATCTTAGTAAGTTTTTTCATTAATTGATTATGAATTTTGTATTCAAGAATGAAGAAACTCAACACAAAATACGTACAACATCAAATAATCAGAGCATCTCATTTATACATTGTAAATAGTCTGGTTCTTTTCAGAAACTTGTCACAGGCTTTTTAGTCTGCTTTTTTTTAAAGAAAATCTTATATTTTCTAGGCATCTTAAAAACAAAACAAAACAAAATGTCCTTTTGACAGTAATAAAGAGAAAACAAAAGATACCAACAGGATTTTAGAGTAACCATAAGTTGCTATCATAAATGTATGATGAGTTACCGGATAGCCATTTCGCCCTGGTAGACCCTGGTTGAATGAGATGAAATGGTACGACACATTAACAACACAGTCATGACATATGACATAACAAACATGCAGAGTACATTACCAGGAAATTATAATTTGTGTACTGCTCGATTTTTTTGCATGTGATGGCATTTCAATCCAAGAAATATGAGCTAGGTACTACACAGTAAAGAAATGAGGCTTTGGCAATGGAAATCATGTGTTTCAACTTATATAAACCCTCTGATTAAAAAGCTACTGGCCACTTCTGATGTCCAGTGAAATTCTGGTTTTTTAGGAAGAGAATTATCCATGTAAACCGATGGGCAAAATGTAGTTATTAAAAAAAAAAAAAAGGTTTAGCGCTTAGGCAGTAAAGTATTAGGTTCCACTAGAGCATAGGTGGCAAAGAAGAAATTTGAGATTGCTGTAAAAGATCATAAAATAATTCAAAATCCCCAGCCTCTGACTGCTACATGTGCCACTCCGTAGTCATGTACAAGGAAAATAAACAGAGCACTGTGGCAGCTTTTGAAATTACAGCATACACCTAATTCCATCCAGTTTCATGTGAGATATACAAATATTTTATATTTTAAATGAAAACTATTACCACAGTCTCCCAGGTGAAAACAATACTTAAGTTCACAACAGTTGTCCCTAGCCAATGTCTGTGTAAATACAGAATTGAATTAGGAAGAGAAACTACCCTTTTTTATGCCTTCTAACAACCTAAACCATTGCTGCCTGTCAGCAAGATGAAGTCTTGTAGGTTTCAAGTATGAAACTTGGAATTTAAAGTTAGATACTTCTTAAAATTATTCAGTTTTGGAACCTATTTCAGGTTTGTGCTAATATTGTCAAGATTACAACTTATTTTTTGGGGGGTTGTTTGTTTGTTTGTTTGATTGTTTGGTTTTTTTATTGTACCTGAAATGAAACAGTGGGGAGTTGAAGTCAGAGACATTCTTAATGAGGCATGGAGTGAACTCATGCCACATTGCCTTGGTACAGGAAAATATAATGATTTATGTTTGCTCTTTGTGTTTCATAGGAGGACTACAAAAGAAATTGGGGGGAACAGTGCTTCTTTCAAATAAACAGCAGCTTTATGCATTAACCCTGGCTTTTCACTGATGATTTGTTAACTTAATTTGTCACTATGAATTGCAGAGCACATGGTCAAAATCTTACAAGGATAAGTAATATCACAACTCAATATATGCAGTTTACAGTAAAATCCTTAGGTCACAGCAGGAATTCAACATATTAATGAAATATTCTTAAACATGAATGTAGCATAGAATAGACAGATGATAGGGTCTTGAAATATTTCATCTATCAAAGACAAAAACACAGAAGTCTTCAAACTGTAAAGGAAATACTGTTTTAACAGTCACTCTCCTAGACCTTTTGATGCACATGGATGGCATGACAGATACAAAGGTTTGAGACATATGTGCTTAGTCCTGCTCTTCAAATCAGACTTTTGACCTACTCTGGGAATGTACAAAAAAGCAAACCACAGATATACCAAAAAAAGCCAAAGCAAAAAACAAAACAACCTAAAAACCTCAGAAGAGAGAAAATGTTGTCTCACAAAAAGAATTAGCACAGCATTCAGTCGACTTACTAAATTGAATAGTATTATTTAATAGTAATTTTACGCAAGCACTGACCTGCTTTAGTAGCAACTACAGTGAAATGAGCTGGACAGGCTGTATGCCTCCAAAAAACAGGGAGCTGGTACCCCATGACTTTGTGATAAATGCAGAGGAAACTACTACCCAGCAAAAGTGCCAGGTCTGAGCTTAAGATAGGATACTCACACGTTTCTATACTTCAGTATAAATATCAGTATACTTCAGTAAAATGTCTGTTATGAAGTCACAGGCAAAATGAACATAACATACTTACATGGAGTTGTGAATCCAAATGGCAATCTGGAGCGCTGAACATAAAGCTTTATTGGTTTAGGGACTTTTTTCTTAACGAACTTTCTGATTAAATTATTCAGCTCCAAGATACTGTGTACGTATAAATATCAAAATTCCCTCTTGAGTATATATGATCATTTTATCATGCTGGTAACTTAACAGGATCTAACAGATTTCTCCCTGATTCTGGAAGAACCAACAATGTATCACTGTACTTACAGGAGGTCCTGTGGGGTGGGGGAGAGGGGAAGAAGGGGTAAAAAAAAAAAGAAAAAAGAACATGTAAGCTTATGAAATCACTGAAGAAAGACACACACATGCAGTCAAGCACAAGGCCTTGGGATTGTCAGTGAGCAGTACTGGTAATACAGGGCACACATTTTCCCACTTAAGTAATCTTGAGCTTTGGTAGTACTCTGAAACTTGTAAATATGACTACTGCCTAAATGCATGCACTTACCTTAACAAATCTTCAATTATAGTCATGCAATCTTATGAAAATTGCTTCTCCATTCATTTCCATGCAATTTCATGCCAGTCCAAAAGTATCAGCCATGGACTACAATTCATTTTGTCAGGCTCCACATAAAGCATCACCAGTTTCACCACATCACCAGTTTCAGCTAAGCACACAGCATTTGATCAGAGCTTGGCTGTGGAATTGCACAAAGTACCCTTGGCATTTAACCTGGGCATCTTTTCCAGGGAGGTTTCAGTGGCCACCTGACAGCGCTGAACTTTCATTTCATTGCCTTCCTCTCTCAAGGCACATATATAAAATGCCCCCCATTAAAATGTCACACTTCATGAAGTGATATTTGCACATTTTTTCAATTATTTAGACCTCAAAGACATTTGTGTAGCAGTTCTTGGAAACATTATCAAAGGGCAACAAATCAAATGTACTATTTCAGTCTTATTAAGTTGAGCAGCTGCAGTTCCCAAATCAATGGCATTTCATTAAGCTTTTATGCCTCTCTCTAATTTCTGAATAAAGTGAAGTGCAAAAGGAGTATAAAACAGCAGCAGCTGTACTTTGAGATTGCTTTTAATATTGACAGCCTTTTGGTTTCAACAATGCAACTTTTATTGTCCAGCAACTAAGGTAATTTCTTTATTCTGGCAAACATTCTTACACAGCATTTTAAGGTGCAGGTCTGTTTTTAAATGAGAGATCCATTTCCTTTATTAATAGTTTACCATGTGTTTATTTGAGATGTAAAATGAATCAATGAGCATCCCACAAAGTGATTTCCAGGATCATTTGTAACTCAATCTTCAACCACAGAATCTCCCTCTGTATTATAGCCTCTTTCTTTGAAGTAAATACCAAGACAGCACTGAGTGGAAACATAAAGGTGATTTGTATCAACTTTTGGCAGGGCTTGGTTCTAGCTTTGTGATTCAGGAAGATATGGAAATAGTTTTTAGAGCCAGGTAAATTATCATTTACACAGATAAGAAAGGCTACAGGACATTTACAGAGATCAAGTTGATTTGAAGACTTTCCTAGCTGGCAGGTTAGACAAGACAGCCAAGGAGAACAGAAATGCTCCTTTTCTACTGCACTGCCTCCAGAAAGTTCACCTTGATGAAAAACTCAATCCCGCAAGGTAATAGATTCAATTCCTGTGAATGTCAACAGCAAGAAGTGCTCAGCATCTCACAACTTTGCCTCAAATGGAATTTCAAGCTACACACTACCAGCAGGTTTCTATCAACAGCAACCTCCCTGGTACAGGGTAACGAACCAACAAATGCTTTTCATATTTCTGTTAGAACTTAACTGCTCGTTTTTATCGAACAACTTCCCTCACACAGAGCTGTCTACTTATCACATTATGTCCCTGATTATCAACATTCTTGACATAAGGAATTTTACTTCTTTATTTCCTTATAAAACTGTTCTCCTCAAACCAAAGGGGCTGATTTAACACTGACACAGTATTCCAACTACTGCCTTACATGTAGTTGTTCTAACTTGTGCATGTGTGAGAATACCCCTAAAGGCACCGTGTCGAGCACCATGAAACGTGCCTACAAATTAAGGATGCCCAAGACTAGAGAAGTATCTGGAAGATACACCACCACCAGATACATGCCAAAGGTCACAACATTTTACCACAGAGGTTTCAGATTTCTTTTTCAGAGCACACATGCAGAACAACTAAAAATCAAGGCATGCTGGGTATGCATCCTCACAAAAACAGACATCAAGTGACAACAGATCTTATGAAATTGAAAACTTACCAGTCTCTCCTCTTCTTCCCCGCTTACCTCTTTTCCCTGGAGGACCTAAAAAGAAGATGGTGGATTTTGAAATTGCACATAAAATATAATTTGTTTGGATGTAAGGGCATTAGACTGATGTACTACGTGAAGTTCAGAGATTTTAGCTGAGCAGGGGTAAAAGATAGCCTGAATAATATTTAGGAAGATTGTGATAAAGTTGACAGCTATGGTACCCACTACAGGCTCCCTGAATAAAGGCTGGGAGAAACTTTAAAGGTCATCAAGTTCATCTCTCTTTTTCAAGGAAAAAGTTAACCACATATAAATTTTTATTGCACCTTCCACAGGCTTTTTTTTTTCCCCCAATATTTCACTGTTCTGACAAGTGGAACATTTTTCTTTATGTCCAATTCGCTGCACTGAAGCCCATCAAGTCTCATGCTTTCCACCATGAACCCCATGGAAGAAATTGTTCCTTTTCTTCTCTCAAAAATATCTTTGTATTCCTCAGAATTGCTTCACCATCCCTTCAATCATCCTAAACCAAATATATTGTGGGACATTAAGTTTTATTCAATTATTTCTGTATTAAGCCAAAAGATTAGTATTTATTAATAAAAGATTACTATTTATTTGTGAGAGTAAATCCTCTGGAATTTGCTTTCAACCTCTATCTGAAAACATGCAAGAGATGAAAAAATCATCACCTGGCTTGCCATCCCCCAAACATTTAACAACAACGTACATGTTTCCAGATCCAGTGTATGGTGCTTTGCACCCGGTTTATATTTGTTTATTTGTCAGCCAACACCATGGCTCCATCACTGTATGCTTTTTGCTTAGAAATCTTTGCTCCTCATTGCCCTTTCTCCACAAATGTTTACATAATACAACCAGCATCTGCTGTCACCTCTGAAAAAAATAAAAATAAAAAGGAAAAATAATTTTTGTCCCTCATTTCTGCTTCCAATATCCTTTTCCAAAAACTGCAGATCTCGGATGTCAGACTGCAAACACTTCCCCCCACTCTTCTTGGTGACCTTGACATACTGCTCCTGAAAATGCCAGGAAAGCACACTTGCACTTCTCCATGTCCAGCTTGGAGGAGAAGCAGCAGCTGTGGGGGTGACACAAGTTCTGAAAGTTGGCTGCTCTGAAAAGAGAACCACAGGTGGGACTCTCAAAGCTGCTGAAGAGAGGCGAGCGCGCGGGTGGAATTTCCAGAAGCAGCGACGCGTGCAGGAGCACAAGTACCTCTGCTGCGGCTGTACCTCACCGTTTGTAATAGATATGAGATGCACAGGTGGTTTTGTGCAAATGGCCTGCTACTTCAAGCTAAAAATCATCTGAAGCATCATGCCATCGCTTTTAAATAGCTTTGCATTAGATATTTGCAGCAATCTGGCTTAAAAGACTAAGATGCTGAAAAGCTGCATTAGTGAAACAATTTCAAGATACGTATGAAACAGTATTAGTCCTCCAGGTGAATTGATTTAAAGAGAAAGGAAGAAGGGAAAAGGAAGAAGGGAGAAGAAAAGAGAAAGGAGAAGGGAGGAGAAAAAAGAGGAGAAAGGAGAAAAAAATTAGATAAGCAGCTCTTGTCTTGAATGTAGAGAGGTTTACTCCTATCAGTGTTATAAATTTGACTAAAATCCTTCTTGCCTCTTCTAATAATTACAGTAATGGTATGATGCAACACAAGTTTAAGACAACATTATTGTATAAAGCAAGAGTGGCATGGGATATTCAGAATCAATAGGATGAATACTTTGTCATGAAAAATAGCAAAGGTGTTATTTAAGTATGGGAGAATCTTGCAACTTCCTCCTGCAAGGTGTTTCTATAGAAACTTCTTACACAGGAAACAGCATGTTACAGACACAGCAAGTTTCCATATGCACCTCCTTTCTTCTCACCTCACAAGGAATACCAAAACTTCCCAGAGTCCCCCCTGCATGCACACAGCCCTGCAGAGGCCTCTAGGGAGATTTCCTGGGCTGTACCCAAGTTCACAACACAGATGCAGAGCAATTTGGGCTCAACATGAACATGGATATGCACAAGAAACTGAGAATGTTCTTCTCCAGGTAATGACATGGCATTGTGCATACAGCAATAATATTCTCCTAAGCAGGGTAGTGATATTTTATTTATTAAACTTTAACTGTGCTATAGGTGTGCACACACAAAAATAAGTCTACTACCAGGTTTGCTTTTGAGAAAGGAACAGCGCTTTCAAGATAAAACTTCTGGCTATACACCAGCAAAACACATTTCTGAAGTCACTAAGAGAAAATCCTGAAGGTCACTTCAAGCTATGAATTTTAGGAAGGAATGCAATCTGTCCAGAAAACCAGACTTCCATAGAGCGCTATGTTGCTGGTTTAGCTGCATACAAGGACAGCAAAAAACTGGCTCCAGTTCAGCTCTTTCCTTTGACATGAAGTGCCAATCCTTTCTAAGATGTTATTCTAAGATGATCAGATTTAAATATGTGAATCATCAGAAAAATTACTGTTATTATTATGTTTCCAAAGTAACCACACCGCTAAGGTTAGGAAAATTACTCTGGACTTAGACCATTATTAATGAAACCATACCACTGCCCCTGACCATCAGACCAGCAGTATTTAAGGGCCACTGAGTGGCATGTATCTCTTCTCTCTCTCATTAAAACTTTTTTTGATTTGTGCACTTCTAAAGTCTGTCAAGGTGGTGGCATTTGCAAACCTCTAATTAATTGTGAGATGAGAGATGAATCTTGCAAAGTCCCACTAGATTTTGGTGACTATTTGAGGAAAGAGTTTCTGTGTATTTATCTATTTAGTTACCAATTTTTACCAATTAAAAAATAATTTTTACCAATACAAACTAAATATTTTTAAACAGTTTACCACAGATGGTTTCAATTCACAGAAAACTAACTCTGAAATTTATGGTCATTGCTAGGTGACCTACTGCTTCAGAAAGTACACAAGCTTTCATATTTTCCTGAACAGACTGCTTTATCTAAATCTCAACTGCTAACATATCATCTGTAGCTGCAAGAGTTTCAAGCTATCAAAATCTTGGGAATTTTTCTATAAATATTAATTCTCCATCTGTCCATAATTGTATAGCTTTGCACTAATTGGAGGATTTGGTGGGAACTCATCACAGCAGAAGGAGAAGTGAATAAAGCTGTATTACGGACAATGTCAGCTTACATCAAGTCCACAGATTTTAACAGCTTGCACAAAACACTCAACATGACACAACTACTCTGAACTTTCCTGCCTGCGGTAAAAAAAAATCTTTTCAAGAGTATCAGAAATGTCTATGCTGAACTGAATTTATTCCAGAGTATTTTAAGGATATTTTATTATAAAATATATTTTTGTATTAAAAATATAAATATTAGGATGAAAAATAGGAGTCTGAATCTCAGTGGAGTTAATTGGGTTAATAAACACTAATGATACCAATAAGCAAAAGCTTGTTTATAGTAGCCAGCCTTGGCAAAACATTGTTTCTCCAGGATCACTACATTTACCTACCTGAAGGGGGTGAGAACAAAATGCCAGATCACCTGGCTTTCATTTTTAACTTAATTTAGTTTCAAAATGTTTGAAATTATTTTATTCTTCCAAAACCATTTATAAATCTAATTCTTATCAACAGAAAATTTGGAAATAATTTTCTTCCATTCAATTTAAAAAAAAAATAATGCCCGTACTATTCCATATTTCTGAAGATAATTTTGGAATTGAAAGACACTAAAAGCTAATTGAAATTAGAAGTCAACTATTTATTTAAATTTATCTTCTCAAGCACAAAATGCCAGCCACTCAAGAAGTAGTTCTTACCTACCATAAGAGTCTGTCAAACGAACAAAAAACCACCACAAATAAAAAAAAAACCCTCCCACCCTGCACAAAATGGACAAAACCACCTGTACTCTTTAAATTTATTCATATATTTACAGCAAACAAATTCTGCATTTCAGAAACAGCAGACAAGGGGAAAAAAGGCAAAAACCCCACCACCTTTGGTGGGTGAGACATAGAGTTCCTCTATCAGGACCTGCCAGGAACATCAAATGCTTGGCCATTTGGTCACCAGCTGACCTAAAAAGCCAAGTTTGTCCTAAATTTGGAGAGAATTACAGTGGCTTTATTAAGTCAAAAGAAACATCTTTGGTTATAACAAACTCCAAAAGCTATTCATTGTTGTTCCAAGAGCCACACCAAGCCATGCACCAAACTAAGAATAACACAGGAGTTTGGAGTCCAGTTCTCTCTTTTACCAATGCCCAGCACATCACTTGTATGTTGTGTCATGCATAGACTCATTAAAGGTAATGTGCATTCCACGTGCACATGAGAAGAATATTTTCCTGGCTATTTCAAAGGACACCCCATTTCACATGAGTTCACAGCAACACAGGATTTTTGCCTGTCAAGTCAGAAAAATGAATTAGCACAGCTACATTCTCGGAAGAAATCCTGATCAACTTTGCTGAAGGCAGCAGAATTACTTCAGTATCATCAGGCATAAAACTGTCAGCCTTGCTGAAATCATCTGGATTAAAATATCCAGAAATCAGCTGAACCATACCAACCAAATCATCCTTTCTGATTCAACTCTGACACTGGTAAAATAATTGCTATTGGTTGCATTTCAAGCTCCATCACCCCAAGCTGTAAATGGATCCAACTCTTTCCACTTCCAGAAATCAAAACCCAGCTGTCACCATTTTATCCCACTTCACATTTCTCCCTGTCAGACTGATTCAGGAAGGAGTAGGGCACTGAAGAGAGCCAAGCCCTCACTGCTCACAGGGGGAGCAGAGCCTCCCCAGAGCAGTGGCAGCACCAGCTGAGCGCAGGCCAGCACTGCAGGTAGGGAGCGGAGCAGAGCGGCAGCTGCTCAGCCTGACACCTCCTCCTCACCACCATGAAATAAGCATGCCACGAGCAGTGTGGTGGCTCCAGGAATGCTGTCCAAGTGCCCCATCCTGACAGCCTGGGATGGTCACCACCACCTGCAAGCAGCACTGAAGCATCCCAGTGGGCTGAGCACAC